GGATTTCTGGCTACCAGGTATCTTTCACACAGGTAACAAGCTGAGATTAGAAGCAGTCTCTTAAAGGGAGTGCTGCTAATCTCATTTTGTTACCTGTATAAAAGACACTTGTCCACAGGAGCAATCAAACAATCAGGTTCCAAACTCTTCATCATGGCAAAGACCAAAGAGCTGTCCAAGGATGTCAGGGACAAGATTGTAGACCTACACAAGGCTGGACTGGGCTACCAAACTATTGCCAAGCAGCTTGGTGAGAAGGTGACAACAGTTGGTGCAATCATTCGCAAATGGAAGAAACACAAAACAACTGTCAGTCTCCCTAGGTCTGGTGCACCATGCAAGATCTCACCTCGTGGAGTGTCAATGATCATGAGAACAGTAAGGAATTATCCCAGAACTACACATGAGGATCTTGTCAATGATCTCCAGGCAGCTGGGAACACAGTCACAAAGAAAACAATTAGGGACACACTACGCTGACAAGGATTGAAATCCTGCAGTGTCCGCAAGGTCCCTCTGCTCAAGAAAGCACACATGTCCAGGCCCGTCTGAAGTTTGCCACTGAACATCTGAATGATACAGAGGACTGGTTGAAAGTGTTGTGGTAAGATGAGACCAAAATCGAGCACTTTGGCATCAACTCAATTCGCTGTGATTGGAGGAGGAGGAATGCTGCCTATGACTCCAAGAACACCATCCCAACTGTCAAACATGGTGGTGGAACATTCTGCTTTTGGGGGTGTTTTTCTGCTAAGGGGGCAGGACAATTGCACCGCATCAAAGGGACGATGGATGGGGCAATGTACCATCAAATCTTGGGTGAGAGCCTTCTTCCCTCAGCCAGGGCATTGAAAATGGGTTGTGGATGGGTGTTCCAGCATGGCAATGACCCAAAACACATGGCCAAGGCAACAAAGGAGTGGCTCAAGAAGAAGCACATTAAGGTCCTGGAGTGGCCTAGCCAGTCTCCAGACCTTAATCCGATTGAAAATCTGTGGAGGGAGCTGAAAGTTCGAGTTGTCAAACGTCAGCCACCAAACCTTAATGGCTTGGAGAGGATCTGGCAAGAGAAGTGGGCCAAAATCCTTCCTCAGATGTGTGCAAACCTGGTGGCCAACTACAGGAAACATCTGACCTCTGTGATTGCCAACAAGGGATTTGCCACCAAGTACTAAGTCATGTTTTGTGAAGGGGATCAAATGCTTATTTCCCTCATGACCATGCAAATCTGTGCATAATTTGTTAGACATGCATTTCTTTTGACTTTTTTGTTGCTATTCTGTCTGTTACAGTACACATACCATTCAATTTTTAGACTGACCATTTCTTTGTGAGTGGGCAAATATTCAAAATCAGCAGGGGGTCAGATACTTATTTTCTTCAATGTAAACCAGGTACCTTTTTTTTTTTTTTTTTTTTTTTTTTTTAATCAATTTTTTTTTGTTCTATTTCTTCCTCAGACCTAATTCTTCTGCAGAGGAGAGATGTGGGGTCTTATGAATCCAAGTTTTCTCTATAAGGAGGACCTTTCACTACTTATTTCTATCGAAAGGGATGTTTACATTCGTTATAATGGGAATAAAAGGGATCACAAAAAAAAATATTTTTAACTGTAAAAATAGAGTAATGAAATAGACACCCCCCCCCCCCCCTTTTTTTTTTTTTTTTTTTGCAAAAGTTACAGCAAGTTAATCTTGCAGTAGGTCTCCTCTGTGACTTTAAACCAGTAACCTGTAGAAATTTTTAAAGCGAGAGAAGTACTGTAGTTTGGTGCTATTCCACGAGCGTACACAATTTTAAAGCATGACACGCTGGGTATCTATTTACTTGGTGTAACTTTCATCATCTTTCCTATTTAACAAAAAAAAAAAATGGGATATATATATATATATATATATGTGTCAGAATTGGCATGGTAAGGAAGTGGTTAAAGTGGTAGTAAACTTTCCTTATGACAGTGATGAACTGTCATTGTTCCTAGCGCTTCCACCTTCGTCTAGTCCAGTGATGGCGAACCTTTTTGAGCCCGAGTGCCCAAAACTGCAACACAAACCAACTTTTTTATTTCAAAGTGCCAACACTGCAATTAACCACTTGCCTACCTGGACGCACTGACAGACGGCACTGATCCGTGGCACTGCTGGCATTATTGGCTGGGCATTATTGATGGGCTGACACGCTGCTGGGTGGCGCATTATTGCGGGTGGCGCTGCTGGGCGGCGCTGCTGGGCGGCGCTGACGGGTGGCGCTGCTGGGCGGCGCTGACGGGTGGCGCTGCTGGGCGGCGCTGACGGGTGGCGCTGCTGGGCGGCGCTGACGGGTGGCGCTGCTGGGCGGCGCTGACGGGTGGCGCTGCTGGGCGGCGCTGACGGGTGGCGCTGCTGGGCGGCGCTGACGGGTGGCGCTGCTGGGCGGCGCTGACGGGTGGCGCTGCTGGGCGGCGCTGACGGGTGGCGCTGCTGGGCGGCGCTGACGGGCGCTGACGGGCTGACGGGCGGCGCCGCTGGGCTCATTGGGGCGGCGCCGCTGGGCATCATTGGGGCGGCGCCGCTGGGCATCATTGACTGGGCTGGGCGGGCGGCGCTGACAGCACTGACGGCGCGCTGCTGGAAGGGCGGCGCTGCTGGGCATCATTGAAGGGTGGCGCTGCTGGGCATCATTGATGGGTGGCACTGATGGGCAGCACTGATGGGCGATACTGCTGGGCACTGACATGTGGCACTGCTGGGCAGCACTGATGGGCGATACTGCTGGGCACTGACATGTGGCACTGCTGGGCAGCACTGAGGCGTCACTGCTGGGCACTGATGGATGGCACTGCTGGGCATCATTGATGGGTGGCACTGACGGGCGACACTGCTGGGCACTGATGGATGACACTGCAAGCAGTTAATCTCACCTCTGGCAGCATCTGTGTGGCTTCCAACCCAGCAGCTCATTCCCATCCACGCTGAACACGTTGCCCCTGGCCCCGGAGCAGTGTGGGAGCCTCTTCCTCTCTTCCGCGCCCATCCCCGAGTACATCACCCCTGGTGCCAGAGCCGCATTGGAGCCGTTTCCTCTCGTCCACGCCCACCCTGGCCCCAGAGACATGTGGGAATGTAGTTTGATGGGGGTCCAGTGTGGACGAGTTCTGGATGGCCGGTCCATGCGCGCTCATCATCCTCTTCTTCCTGGCGTGCCCACTGAGATGGCTCTGCGTGCCAGCTCTGGCACGCGTGCCATAGGTTCAGCATCACTGGTCTAGTCTGACCATGAATTCTTGTATGATAAACCAGTTGGGCAGTTTTAAAAAGCTTGCCTGCTATTCCTCTTTTCCTAGATAAACTGGGCTGGCACAATGTTGTGTACATCTTCCTCCTCTGTCTAAACTGGAATGCTCTTGTAATCATAACCTTGATGTTTAAAACAGAAGCCAGACCACAAGACGTTTATAGGTTGGTGTGACTATGCATTCACAGTTCTCAATTTACTGAAGTGTATGGCCAGCCATAAAGGATAAGTTCACCTTTCCAGAAAAAATGGCAAATTTCTTGTACAAAAAAAATTTGCATTTTTTTTTTCTACAGGAGCCTGCAGTGCATTGTACCCTTGATCAGTCAGTTGCGGGTGCTGTGTTGGGCTCCTTCAGACCTGTCCTCTAGCTTTCTAGCTGGAGAAGGTGTCCATAAACGACAAGAACACTCTTAAGCTTCACTACCAGAATATAAAGATGCATCTCTGCATGTTAGACAAAACAGGAGTAGCTGAGCCAGCAGAGAGAGTTATCAGAAACTTCTAGAAGAGGAGATGGCTATGATGTGCAATGAAGGAACGGGCTGTACTAGGGAATTGACTTTCTGGAGTAGTCAAAATTTTCTAGAAAGTTCAAAAGCGCACAAAAATTGATGGAAAGGAAAAACGCTGAAAATGCTTTATTTTAATGCGCTTTTTCTAATTTCAAAGTGCTTTTGGCCTCTTATGTAGGCTATGTCAGCTTGTGGTTACTTTTACTACAATTGGATTTGAAAATATTGCGTGGGGCCTTGGCTATCAGCATTATCACTGCTGATTCAGAAGCCTATGGTTCAACCAACACCAGTGGATTGGACTGTTCTGTTGAACCCAAAACTCTCCCTTTTTGGCTGAGGTTTTTGGGAATGGAGCATGTGAGACACAAATGAGAGGATTTGGTTGACTCAAAGAGAAATTGACTCCATATTACTAGTAGTGCACACAGGGAATGACTAATGTGAAGCTTCCCACCTCTTAGCTAGGTGTCTTATCACACAGCAGAAGCAAAAGGTTATGTCACTTCTGCTTTCAATGCGAAACATGTTGTCATTTTCACACCTGCAAATCGTGTTTCCTTTTTTTTTTTTTTTTGTCCTACCCCTGTATATCTTGCGTTCTGTAGTATTTGGATTTGAGACCTATATAGACTAACATACAGAAATCTTTTGTTCTTTAAAGCAGAACTCCAGTCGGTTTTCTGAAAATTAAAAGTCAACCACTACAAAAACTGTAGCTGCTGACTTTTAATAATCAGACACTTGCCTATATCAGGATCCAGCAATGTGGTCACCTTTGGGGGTGCCGAGGACCGAACACACTGGCATCTTAACTGTGGGCAACCTGGCTGTGAGAGCTTGCAGCTTTACAGCTGTGGGTGCCTACTGCTCCAGCCGTGCGGTGCATTGTGAATGGTCCCACAGTATTCTAGGACCTGTCGTGTGTCCCAGAAGACAGCTGGGAGTGTGGAGAACTTAAGCTTCCAGTCACCTAGGTGGACGGAGTGGAAGTGGGAACGGGTACCTGTCAAAATCAGGTACCCAGTTCCCAAAATTGCAAATGCCTCACCAGGAGAAGGGGAGGAGGCCTTTAAAACGGAACATCCCATTTTGGGTGGATCTCCGCTTTAATTTTAGTTTTGAAACTTAGGAAAGGGTTAAATTTGTGGGGGGTTTTTTCAACATTTTGGGCAGCTTTTGATTCATGATTTTTTTTTTGTTTCCTTTTAGTATGATCCATTTGCTGAACATAGACCTCAGAAAATTGCAGATCGGGAGGATGAATATAAAAAGCATAGGCGTACCATGATCATTTCTCCAGAGCGTCTTGATCCTTTTGCAGACGGTAATTGGCTTATGTGTTTTCATTTAACATGTTTTAGTTTGTGTTTTTTTTTTTTTTTTTTATCCTGAATTTAACCCCTTGTGCTTTCATTGCCATGCTTAAACCTTTTTTTGTTTTTCTCCCTGTACTTTATCATTGCTGAGACACTGTATCTAATCCCTGCACACTTATAGTCGGAATAGCTTTACAGCACACTGCATTGATTTAAATACTTTTACAACATATAATACTTTTTTATGGCGATTTCAAAATGAAATGCACAATGCGTTTCCAATATGTTTTTGACAACAAGATTCTTAAATACAAAAGGCTTTCATCTTTTACATTCATATAAACCTACTGCTGGAGAGAATTGTATTTTGGTGCATACCTTTAAGGCAGGCATTCAGTGATTTGACCCCCCACTGATCATTTGCAGCTTCATACTTTTGCTTTTTACTTAAGCCTTAACTGGTGAGCTACAAGTTAGTTGCCTGAGTCTGTGTCTACACAATTTTAACTGCAGGTCATTTGCTTTAAAACCTGCATGTATCAGTGATGGGTTTGGTGTATTGTATAATGTAAATGATAAACAATGCTTGTCAGACTTCACAGGCCCATACTAACTGTCCTTAATTTCTTTCCTACAGCAGTACTGCTAAATACAAGTCCTGTCTGCATTCTTAAGGGTGCAGTGCAACACATCCTGTGTAGCTAATGGTGAAAAAAGTAATCCAAAGGAAGTCCTATCTTTTCTAGTGTCCGCTTGACACTGCAGATTGGGCGTGGTCTCCAACATCTTTCTGTTTTTTTTTTCTTAAGTTTTTTTCTATTGGTGTGTGCATGTTCACGGTATGGAGATTGTCAGAGGCACCCTTCATCTCCCCCCCCCCCCCCCAAAAAAAAAGCCTGTGCATTTTGATTTTAATGAAAAGGGGAAAAATTGTTGAGAAATTGAGTTATGAGGTTCAAATAGTTATGACAATAACTCTAGCTCTAAATGGAAATAACATTGTTTTACAGTTTGGTGTATTTGCTAAATAAAGACCTATTTAATGCAGAGATGCATGCACTTTCATAAAGGTGCTGTTCACTCAAAACCGGTCTTTGCTTAAAGGACTAGTTCCCCCCCAAAAAACTGAATAAGTTTTCAGTTTGTTCTGGCAGGGTTTGACCATTCCATAGGCTTGTATAAGGTCCTAGGAACCTTACATATGTCCCCTCATAAACCTCCCCACGTCTACTATGGCCATAATATGCCACGCAGAATTGCAGTGTCACCAGGTATTTGCTACATTCTGTATGCAATTCCTACAGATAATTTAAAAGTCGACATCTGACACCATTTCTCAAAGACTCCATAGTTGAATGTAGTGTTTTGTGGGGAGAAGAATGTGGACTGTAAAGGAACATAAGTGTGAATGAAATCAATTCTTCTCCGAGTTTAGACAAATTCGGTAAGGAGACTATTTTGAACATGTAAAGGGATATATAGGCAGATTTGCTTTTCATCTTTCAAACAGTGTTTTCAGTGGGTGTTTGACTAAAGGTTGCCTTTTAGTGCCAGAACATTGCAGTTGGTCACCTCTGCTCACTGAAAAAATTAACTTTGGGTGGACTGATTGATGCTTGGCAAAAAATAACAAATACTGTTTTTTTTAAAACCAACCGTGTTTGAGAAAATGGGGTTTTTGTCTAGAGCATTAAGCTTGGCATTTTCTTATTTTTCTGATTTTAATATTTTTGGAATACTTTTTCTTCTATCCAAAAAGTGGACCTGTGGTTCAGACTTTGGTTAACTTTTAAAATGTGTTTTAAGATTGCCTTTCTTTATGATGCTGCCCAGTTTCTCTAGACAGATTAACTCATTCTCATTTTCTTAGATTTCCTTAGTATTTTGTTAGAAACTCAAGCCTAAAATATTGTGAAGCCATAATTGGGTATAGTATATACTGGTGCTTTTAACAACTTTACCCAGGTAATGTTTTGAGTATACATTTTCCAAAGTGTTACTAATGGTAAAGAGATGATTTTCTAGGCTTCTATTCTGCTGCTTGAAGTCAGAACTGCTGATGGAGACAAAGGAATGAAAGTGTACGTATTATGGAACAGTGACAACGGAACTCACCACTGCTGAAGACACTTCAGTGTTTTGCCATTTTTTTTTTTCTTTTAAATCTGCATTTGATGTTTGCTGTAAAACTGTAGTTTGTATTTCTAAATAGGTTACATATGACAATAAAATTCCTTAATGTAAGAAATGTAACCTTTTAATTTTAGTTGATTTATAATAAATCCAATATCCCTAGTATTTTGCTAGAGAGGGATTGACAGTATTAATTTTAAATAGACATTTGCAAGTTACTACTTCTTGTTGTTTATTTCTGTAGGAGGAAAGACGCCAGATCCTAAAACCAATGCACGAACATACACAGATGTTATGAAAGAAAAGCAGTTAAGAAAGGAACAGGTAAGTTGACAAATGAATTCAGGTTTGCTTTTATCAAATACTTGCACATGAAACTGACCTCTTGCTGTTTTTCTTAGTATGAAATCCATCAGCAGATAGCAGAAAAGGCAAAGTCTGGTGATTTAAAAGTGGTCAATGGATCTTCTGCTTCAACAGCATCACAGCCATCTTCAAAACGTAAAAGAAGATGGGATCAAACAGCTGACCAAACTCCCGGGTCCACCCCCAAGAGGCCGTCAACTTGGGACCAAGCGGAGGTCGTTGTACTTTTATCTAATTACTTTTGTTTGTCAGATTAAAAAAATGTTCACTGGAGAATTTTGGTAGCGTGTATGTGTAATGTGTTTTTTTTTTTTTTTTTTTTTTTTTGTTCCTGTTTTAAATTTTAGACTGATCATTTCATGATTTTGCGAGTGCAGTTTGCACTACAATTTAGTTTAACAAAACAATAGCAGTATGTTCTATGCATCTGTCCACTCCTGTATTTTTATAATTGCACACACAGATTTAACGTTCTGATCACTGTTGTCTGTTAGCTGGTGAGCTTTTTTTTAACAAAATGATTTTTTTTAAGACTCCTGGACACACGCCTTCATTAAGAGATGGGATGAGACCCCTGGTCGAGCAAAGGGAAATGAAACCCCTGGAGCCACTCCCGGCTCAAAGATATGGGATCCTACTCCCAGCCATACTCCAGCTGGAGCAGCCACACCAGGTCGTGGCGATACCCCAGGCCATGCAACTCCAGGGCATGGAGGTGCAACTTCTAGTGCACGTAAAAACAGATGGGATGAAACCCCTAAAACAGAACGTGGTAAGTTTGGCAATACAAAATATTGCTGTATTTTCTGCTTGCTTTTGATATCTACCACTTGCTGCAGGCAGTTTTATTCCATGTTTTTTGGCTTTTTCATGGGTCAAGGCACTAGAATGCAGAGTTCTGTAACCCTGCATGTTGGATTCAGTCATGTTTCAATATCTAGTGCATGTGGGGTTTTAGCTGGATATTGCCTGTAAACTGACAAGTGTCATGATCAAATTGCTAAAATTATGCAGATAATGTGCAGTGTGATGGGAACTAGAAAGTTTGTGCCTGTTGTAAATGATAGCAAGCTTCCCTTGATTCAGTTTAATCATATTTTATTTTCAGATACTCCTGGTCATGGAAGTGGATGGGCTGAGACTCCACGTACAGATCGTGGAGGAGAATCAATTGGCGAAACCCCAACTCCTGGAGCTAGTAAAAGAAAGTCTCGCTGGGATGAAACTCCAGCTAGTCAGATGGGTGGTAGCACTCCAGTACTGACACCAGGGAAAACGCCAATTGGTACCCCTGCTATGAATATGGCTACTCCTACACCAGGTGAGTAACCGTAATTTGATGTCGCCTCTGTTTCTCCTTGTCTGTATGAAAACCTTTATATTGGAATTTTCCACAGTACTTATTGGAAGTGAAAAATGCAGCTGAGATCCTGAAATGCCATTGAAAGTTATAAAATAACTTTTCAAAAGCATTTGTAAAAAGTGCTTATATGAGTTGAGGGGAGTGTTCATGTTTGTTCATTCGGCAAGAAGAGCAATGCAGATGCCAGTTCTGCTAATTACAGGGGAGGAAATAAAACCGCAGTCAGTACAGATTTTGTAACCTGTGCAATCGACTATCAAGAAGACATTTGGCAAGTCATTTGAAACCCTATAGAGGAGTTTGTTGCCCAGTCCAGCCAAAATCATTCAACATTTCCCTAGAGATAAAGTATTCTTCACATGCATTTTGGATACAAATTGAATTTGGGAATCTTCAAAATCTATACAGATGTGGAAGGCTACAATCTTGGAATTCTGGGAGTTGGCCACTAAGGCTAAATGAGTACTCTAGCTGTTGAAGCCTTTAAAATCAGGCTGGTCTGCCTGCAATTTAAATAGAAAATAGAATGCCAAGACCGCCAGTGACTTTGTAGGGAAAAAAACTTCTAAAACACTGGCTTAGTGGTTCATGCTTCTGCCTTGCAGCACTGGAGACCTCTGAATCCCATCCAGGACACTATCTGTATGGAGTTTGCATGTTCTCACTGTGCAGGATTTCCTCCTCTGGGTACTATCTTCCCCACTTCAAAGATTTGCTGGTAGATTATTTGGCTGCTGTACGAATTGTGTGTTTGGTGTGTGTTTGGGTGTGTACATGTGTAAGTGATATAGGACCTTAGACCAGGCCTTAAAATGTTCACTCGCCTGCTCGCATTTCGCGAGTGGAAATAACATGGGGGCGAGGGCCAGATCGATCAGCCGATGGATATGGAGCGGGGGTGCCGGCACCAGAGGCGGAATTAGCTTTCAGGCATTTAGGCACTCGCACGCTACCCAAGGGCCCAGAGTCCTTAGGAGGTCCTATGACAGGCTCCTGAAAGGATGGGGAGGGCCGCAGGGTGGATTGTGCAAGTGTGCTGAGTCCGGTCCGGTGAGAGGAAATAGAGACTAGCAGAGCACAAGGAGGACACTTCACAGACTGGTGAGAACTCATCATGTAACAGTGGGAGGAAGGGGGAGAACTGCCTGTGACTGGAGTGCTGAGAAGCGGAGTGTGACAGGCTGAGAGAGCCAGAGGGGAGGTGTGTGTGTGATTGTGGCGGGGGCTCTGTATTCACTTTATGTACTAGGGGACACTGTGTGTGTTTGGGGGGGGGGGGGGGCACGTTGTACCATAATGGAGACCATGTGTTCTAAGAGGGGGGTTGTGTGCGCATTATAACCTCAAATTATGGGGGGGGGTGGGCGTCATAATTGTGAGTAGCAGAAATACAAATCGCCTCCCTTTTTTGCACCCCTTCCCCCCCCCCCCCCCCCCCTTTCTCTCTCACCCTTTTTTCTTTTTTTTGAAAAGTGGGTAGAGGACATGGCTATGGGGGGGTGAAGGAGGGTATATATTTTATTTTTCTGTAAATGTATTCTGCATAAAACATTTAACAGTGTCATTTAATGAGAAAATGTACGCGGGCATGTTTAGGGGAGGGATTAGGGGCGTGGCAGGGTAGCAGATGGGTGGAGCAACTGGTGAGTGAGTAACTCCTAAGGCCTGGCTAGTAGCTCAGGACTTGAAATTTTAAGCCCTGCCTTAGACTGTAACCTCATTAAGGGCAGAGACTGTGACTGTACAGTTAATTGTCTGTTGTATAGAAATGCCTGTAATACAGTAAAAAAAGAAGTGTTTTAGTTGCTAGTCCCAAAAACCTAAAAATAGGAGTTTTTTTTTTTTTTTTTTTTGTAATCCAAAAATGGCTGCCTCAGACACTGCTAAAGAGGAAAAAGGGGAACAGTCCCTAACAGTTGATCTTTAGAAAGACTAACCCAAAAATATGTTTGTAGAAATTTAAATTTTACAAATCTATTTACTCTTTGAGAGATTCCCCAGATAACAATGTTATCCTTATAACCACAATAAACATTAAATTTAATTTGCTAAGGGTGTGCATCTGATGTTGGATAGATGTTGTTTTGGCTTTTTTTCTTGCTTTGGGTTTTTAAAGATTATTATAAACTATATGTTGTGTTTTTTGTAGGACACATTATGAGTATGACTCCTGAACAACTTCAAGCATGGCGTTGGGAGCGGGAAATTGATGAAAGAAATCGCCCACTTTCAGATGATGAATTGGATGCCATGTTTCCAGAGGGTTATAAGGTAATGTTTTATATAATAATTTGGTGCTGAATTTTTCTTTTTGCATGTTCCTAAGTAGAAGAAACTAATCACTTCTAAAGCTGATGGCCAGTAAATATTATATTTGCTGAAATCTGAGGAAATGTTTCCAGTTAGGTTAGGATTCTTTTGGAGGGACCAAACTGCACACTGTAGACATCGTGACTGTGAGACTCGATGACCTTTAAAGCAGAACTTTACCCGTAACAGTCTGATAACAATTAAGGCTCTTTAACAAAAGAACATAAATTTCACATTCATCAATTGCGTTACCGAAACTAGTGTGTGCTGTAAATTGCCTCCAGAATTGCCTCTGTTCTTCTTGCCAGAGTATGCCACTTTTGATCCTTGTAAAGTTGGTCATACATAGATCGTCATTTGGCTGGTTTCTCTGAGATCGGTCGAATTTCGATCCATGTATCTGTAGGATCATTAGCTCAGTGGGGAGGATTCCTCCATCCAGATCGAATGTGTGGATGCAGGAATAGTGTTTTTTTTTTTTTTTTTTTTTTTTTTTTTAATGCGTTCAACACACTGGTTTACCAAAAAGCTAACCTATAGGCTGCTTAACTCTTAACTCTTGTGTCCCCTGGCAGCAGATTTTGACATTTCACCTCTCCTGCTTTTCTCTCTCCCAATCTGTTTATCGCGGTACAGGCTGACGTTCCTGTTGCTCCCCCTTCACAGCATTAGTGAATCTTAAAGAAAGTTTTGCCTTAAGTTATACTTAAGGTTTTGGATATAGTGCCCCAGTTAAGGAAGTTCACCCTCTCCATTTGTCCTTATTACTGTCATCTTTGAAAATGAAAAATAAAGAAAATCCCACATTTTGGGTTGTTCCCAGAAAAGTAGTAGAGGGGGAAATCCTCCAATAGAGACACTAGTTCTGGTGGCCTGGGGGTTCCCCAAGTGATTCTCTTAATTTGCAGGGATTTCCTTCCACTTCCTATTTAACTATGGGACAGGAAGTGAATGGAAATCTCCAATATGAGACACAAATCTGACTGTGGCTATAGCCGTCCCTTGCGCTCTATCCAAAATGAAGAAAAAAGTTTTGCCTGTAGTTCTACTTTAAGGTTGTTGGAGCTCAGCTTCCTCAATGTTCTAGTTATCAGCACAGTGCAGAGAATAGGGAACAACTAAAGCTGTGCATTACTGGATTTTAAACAGTACAGGCACTTATTTTTAATGTTTTACATGGCTATACCTGTAAAAGGGGCCAGCATGAAGTGATCGGTCTAGAGTTAATGGCTAAAGTTCCACTTTAAGTGATAACGTAAAATTTATAATAAGTTATAATTTGGATGGTACAGTGGATGTGAAAAGTCTACATACCTCTGTATAAATGGCGGGTTTATGTAAAATAATCAGACCAAGATAAATCCCTTCTGAAATTTTTTTCCCCCCACAAATTTAATGTGACCTATAATGTGTGAAATAACACATTATATGAATAACATGAATGCACAAATATAAAAACCCTTTAAACTAATACTTTTTTGAAGCAACTTTATGACAGTGTTACGTCTTTTGGGGTGGGAGTCTATTATTATGAAGATGTTTAAAAAAGGAAAGCGTGGTGCTTGCTCTTAATTGCAATGAGAAGTATAGCACTATTAATATAAATCACGGTATATCCATTCACTACATTAATCAACACTTATGTATATCAAATAGAAAACAATCAAAGTGAATTCATATCCATATGTATTTAAAAAGTGCTCAATTGTAGTAAATTTACCGATAACCAATAAAAGTGCTAATAACCTAAGATAAAGTGTAAATGTGCTCATATTAAACACAATCACAATGTGAAAATTACTTTATTAAGTCCCATTAAGTGCATATAGCTATTGTCCATGCATCCTCAGTATAATGAACAGCATCCACATGGCCAAATTGTCAAATTTTTGGATCCAATACAATAAATCCCCTTTAAACAGATCTGCTTCGCTGTCCTCAAGCTTCACCCAAGATTTACTGTACAAATCTAATCAGAACCATTGTACAAGTATGGGACACAGCTTCTCTTCATGTGACAATGTGGTTGGAGTTTTTACTGTGGAGAGGAGCGAAGGTTGCAGCAGGATTGGAGAGTCATATATAGATTTGTCAATAAGCGCTGTTAGACCCTTATGAGAGTATGGGTCTGTACTTGAGGTGAGCTACTTGGCATTCCACACCCTTATTATTAATTTATACTATTTTATTGGTAGTGCATAGGTTTTATTTCTTTTTATAGTCTCAGTATAGCACATCTATGCCCATTCTTTCTTACAAAAAAGCAATTCAAATTTGTCTGCTTGTGATATCATCTCCTGTGCACAGCCCTCTTCAGGTCACCTCACAAATTTGGATTAAGGTCTGGGCCATTCCAAAACTTTGATCTTCTGGTGAAGCCATTTCTCCACATTGACTACTAAACCTTAGTTGCAGCTTTATGAAAGCAGCCCCAAAACATGCTTCCACCACCATGCTTCACTGTAGGTATGTTTTTGTTTTTTTTTGTTTTTTTTTTTCTTGTGATGTGCAGTGTTGTATTTGCGCCAAACACATTTTTGTAACTATGGCCAAAAAGTTTGGTCTTGTCAGAAAAACATCCAAGCCGGGCTGCATTTTGCAAAAACCTACATCATATCTGCCAAAAGCAAGTGGGGAAATGTGTTATGGTCTGATGGGTCCAAGAATTAACTTTTTGGCCATAATTCCTAAAAAGGTGTGTTTTAGTGCAAAACCAGTGTTCTGCATCACCAAAAAACACCGTACCCACAGTGAGCCATGGCGGTGGCAGCATTGTACTTTGGGGTTCTTTTTGAATGGCTTCACAGAAAGTGGGATAATTCAGAGGTGATTTTTCCTGGTCTGTTTTTTTGGCATCTCAAAACCTCACATTTTTACAAGGGTGTGTAGACTTTTTATATCCACTGTAGGTAATAAGTTTGCCCGATTTGCAAAAAATTGCACACCACTTTGCACAGAACAATTGAAAATTCCAGGATTCCTGTTGGAGTTTGTTTTGTACTGTAATGAATGCACACATGGAACCAGTCCGATTTCAGATCAGGAGTTTGCTAAATTAAGTAGTTGCTTTGGCCCTTCCGAAGTTCATCTATACCTGAAATCTCTTTTCAGCTATAGATGATATTCAGCTGAATATCTCTTTTCACTAACAAAATGTCTTAAATGACTCTGGTTAGATTTCAGATGGTGAGTATAATAAAGTGGTGGTAAACCGCATCCAAAAAACCACCCCCTGCAAGGTAAAGTCATAATGTGCTAATATGCATTCCATACTAGCACGTTATGAAGGACTTGCTTTGAAACAAAGCCCTCAAGCGGAGTGCTGTCACGGCTCCCTGGGGCTAACGTCTTCACCCGGTCTTCCTTCCGGGTTCGCAAGCTCTGGCTAAACCGCGGTGACTTCTTTCCTGCGCGCATGCCGGGCTGCGGCACAGTGCTCTGAAGCAATGGCACTGGTATGCCGCTTGTTCAGAGCTTGTGTGGCGGCTATCATAAGGGGCTTTATTATAAGTTTACCTGTAGGTAACATTTTATTACAGAAGAGTTAACTACCACTTTAATTTGGCAATAATTTAAGAGCATGAATTCTAGTGTCCAAGTTGCAAGTATTTACATTTAGAAAATAGGTAGTAGGTCAAAGCTTCCTTGGGCGAGCTCCCTTTCAGGCACAGATACCATTCCAGTGATGAAGTGACAAACAGTGCAGTGTTTATTGGTGCTATTTACAGGTCTATTTATACAGTGTCAGTGTACAGTACACTGTACAGGGGTTCCACAAAATAAGCAAGGCAGAAGCTCCAAAACAAAATCCTAGCCTCGTCCACAAGCTAACTGCACAAATCCACGTCCTAACTAGCAAGCTTAATGGGGGGGAGCAAAGGAAGAGGAGGGAGGGGACAAAGATAGACGTGGGGAGGAGAAAAAAGAGAAGGGAGGCACAGAGAGTTATGGGACAGACATAGTGCGATAATAATGCAAAGTAGTACACCCGTTACCCCACAGCCATAACCATCAATAAAAAATAAAAGATCCCTACGAAAGGGGGACATGGGGGGAGAAGGGAAAGGATCAGTGTTCAGACAACCATGGTGTCTACTCTTTATCATACTTCCAAGGACAACCCCGATTTAATGTAGGTATGTTTATGCATTGGTAAAGCGACGTTCACCAGCGCCTCCCAGGCCGACAACTCCAGCGAGAGGGGTGGTGACAAATATAACCAGAGGTTTATCTTAGCAAAAACCTCAAACCAATAGGCCATAACAGGGGCATAACCAAAACGTATGAAAAAAAGATCCCTGTGTGTATACGACAACGGGGACAAACAGGGTTCCAGTCAGGGTAGATTGTGTGAAGTCTGAGGGGTGTAGTAAATTCTATGGAGGAATTTGACCTGAATCAGCTTCTCTAGAGGAGATGACCAGTTTAGGACCCCTGTACTCCTAATTTTAGATTTCTCTTTAGCAAATTTTCAGATTGAGTTTCGGCACACAGAGCTGATTTATGTAATCTGGAGGAAAATATTGGCACAAAACTGAGTTGTCCAGCGTAATCAGCAATGATTTCTTATATTTCAGTAACCTGAAGGGTAAAACTTGAATTTACTTGACTTCACTTGGGGGAGGGGGGGGGGTGGTAGTCAGGTCCTTTTTTTTTTTTTTTTTTTTTTTTTTTTTTTTTTTTTTTTTTTTTTTTTTTTCCATGTTAGACTACAAGTCCCCTTTTAACCAAGCTCAGTTGGGAGTGTTGCCCATATGCCTAAATAACTTTACAAGCCTATCAGTCTGGAATTTTATTGTAGTGCTGGACCCATACAAATTTGTGTAATGGTGTATTAAGGTCTGATTCCAAAGAGGGTTTTTTTTATTTATCCCAGGCTGTTTCTATCGTAGAAGTGTTCTTGGTAAAATCAGATTATACAGTTGCTTACTTAAAGCGGAGCTCCACCCAGTGTCCATTTTAAAAGGGCACCGCATTTTAAAATGTGAAAAACTATTCTAATACACAACATAGTAACATCCATATATTTTGGGCACCCAATATTGATGGAGATTTATTCTTCCAAAGAAAATACGCCTTTTCACACTGGTAGTACTGACTAGTATTCTAATGTTTTTTCTTCTCCCTCAGTTTTTTTCCATGACTGAGCTAATGTGACCCCAGCACTGATGGAGAGGGGAAGGGGGAAGATCAAACTAGGATGCCGTGCAGGCAGCTGACATCCTCATCAGCTGATGTCATTGGTTGTCAGGACGCCGGCGGCTAAAAGGTCGTTATGGTTCACAATGAAAACCTGTGGCTTTGTATTTAAGTTTTGAGCAATTTTTACACATTTTGCCAAGGTACCCCAGGGTGCCTGGTCACCCTGGTTGAGAAAGTCTGGCCTAGGCAATCGGAAGCGGACGTTGGACGTTGTTCCCACCCCCTCCCCCCCCCCCCCCCCCCCCCCTTTTTTTTTGTTTTTTTTTTTGTTTTTGTTTTTGTTTTTTTGTTTTTTTAATTTTGACTGGAGCTGCACTTTTAAGATTCCATCTTGATTTTTGGCCCAGAAAATCCTAATTTCTTCTTATTTTTTGCAGGTTCTTCCCCCACCAGCTGGATATGTCCCAATACGTACCCCAGCGCGTAAATTGACTGCGACTCCAACACCCCTGGGTGGCTTAACTGGTTTTCATATGCCTGCTGAAGACAAGACAATGAAAAATGTCAGTGATCAACCGTCAGGAAATCTTCCATTCCTTAAACCAGATGATATTCAGTACTTTGATAAACTGCTGGTAAGTGATAATCATTGTGTGTGTTTTAATCTTTTTAGTTTGGGGTAGCACAGTGGCTATATGGGTTAGCACTTCTGCCTTTCAGCACTAGGGTGGTTGGTTCAAATCCCAACCACAGCACCACCTGCCTGGAGTTTGCATGTTCTCCCTGTGCCTGTGTGGGTTTCCTCCGGATACTCTGGTTTTCTTCCACACTCCATAGAGGTTAGGTTAATCAGCTCCTGTCTAAACTGGCCCTAGTATGTGTATGTATGAATGTGAGTTGGGGACCTTAGATTAGAGTTTTGAGTCCCATCTCCTGCAGTAGATTATCTTTGAATGCTGTTCCCTAGATACTATAGTAGAAATATATTCCTTGGCACATTTGAAATATTGCCTTAAATTTCCTAAATGGAGTCCTAGAAATGCTAAATACCTCTTCTTGTTTGGGGTAATTGCAATGTACTGAATGTACCAATGCTGTGCATCATTTGGCATCTGTTCTACTGCTACGTCCCTCCTGTCTAATTGCTGTTTCACAAGTGTGCTCCTGTTCGGTTTCTCCCCACTACTCCAAATGGCTTCTATTCTGCCTTTCTCTGTTATCAGCTCTACATTCATGCCCCACCCCTGCTACTGCTTTTGCTGTGCTCCCATTTCCACCATTGTTATCAGCATCCACCCTAGCTCATCCCTTCCTGACCATTATGACCTCACTCTGTTCCTTCCCCAATCATGATTAGCCTCTACTCTGCCTTTTTTATGCCTAGTTCATGATCCGCTTCCATCCTGTCTCATGCATTCCATGATCAGCTTCCATGCTTTCTCCCCTTCGTCAATGAATGCATACATAATAATCAGATGCTTCCCACCTAATAGCAATGTTCTCCACCTCCTCACTCTCCAACCATGTAATCTTCTACCCTCCCTCAACTGATCAGCCCCCGCTCTACCTAGTCTATCTATGGTTTGTGCTCAGCTCTTGTGTTTAACCTTCTCCCCTTTACTTCTCTCACCAAAAAAAAAAAAAAAAAAAAAAAAAAAAAACGCTCCAACTTTGCCCTCCCTATCTTGCCCTCTCTGGTCATGTTGCCTTCTCTCTGTCTCCTAATTCCTTCTTCAAATCCCACTAAATTTAAACATCTTTGTTTAGAGTAGACCGTTTTTAGGGGAGAGTAAGTAGCTGCTTATTATACAAATGTACAATAGGCATGTTTTCAAGTCTAGTATGCTCTTATTATAGAAGTGACATTAGATGAGCAAACAACTGTGTGTTCTGCAATTCACTTGCTATCTAAAACCAAGATTGCATTGTATCTCATGAAAGCGTTTTTGTTGTACCTGTGCTAAGATTTAGGTCAAGTGTGTTGTATTAACAGCTGTCTTTTTTTTGTCTTTTTTTTGTTTTTTTCCCGGTTAATAAAAAAAAAAATATTAAAATGATCAGATAAGGTTCATTGTAATAAGGATATCTGTATAATTATATGGCTATCTTAAGATACACAGGTTGAGAGTGTTTCAGCATTAAGTTTTTTTTTTTTTTTTTTTTTTTTCCAAATTTCTAGGTTGATGTTGATGAATCCACACTTAGTCCAGAAGAGCAGAAGGAAAGAAAAATTATGAAGCTACTGCTGAAGATAAAGAATGGCACACCTCCCATGAGGAAGGTATATGCTGCTGCTGTCATGTTGTCTTTCCCTTTAATGTGCAATGTAGCTAGAAAAGGGAACATAGTGTGAATGTTTCTGTTAGTCAGTTATTTTATTTTAGACTATTGGGTAACTTATCATTTGTACCATTTAAGTTTGGTCACATTGCAAAATATAGAGAATTAAAAGCATTGACATGCAGATATTGTAGCCACCAGATCAACTTTTCTTTGCAGCACAAACATTTTGTGAATTTTAAGTTAGATTTATAGGGCTGTTGCTCATAGTCGCTTTAAACATTGAGAGTTTTAGGCCATATAAATTGGTTTTGGGTGTTTTTTAGTTTGTATGTAATGTAGTATTATTAAAGGTTTCTAAAAATGTATTCACAAAGTGAGTTTTGAATGTTGTGGTCTTCAATTTTCTCAAGCTAAGCTTTTTTTTTACAATTTCTTATTAGGCAGCACTGCGGCAGATTACAGACAAAGCTCGGGAATTTGGAGCTGGACCATTGTTCAATCAAATATTACCATTGCTAATGTCTCCAACACTTGAAGACCAGGAACGGCATTTGCTTGTTAAAGTTATTGATAGAATCTTGTACAAACTTGATGATTTGGTTAGACCATATGTACACAAGGTATGTAAAATGTTTTAGTGATCTATTTGTAATGTAAATCTAAGCTATGTTTTTACTCTGCAACCTTATATTTGGGGTTCGGTTGCCCAAAATATGAAGTGTGTTTAGAAATGGAATGGAAAATACCCTGGCAGTGGGTTGGCACTTTACAGCTTTAAAGATTTTTTTCTTCCATCCCTTGGGAGGAGATGCACCTACGTTTTAATGTGTCTGTTGATAAGCGGTTAATGGCCCTTTTTAAGAACCTTTTTCTCACTGGCACCCTGCTTTAGAACCTGCCTTTGCAGTGTCTTTGTACTATCCAACTTTATTTGACTTGGATAAGGCCATCGGAGGGGATCTGGTTTCAATTTAATCTGACCCTTTAACTGTGAAGCATCTGTAGCTCATGCTTGCTGCCTTGAGCTATTGCATGGATGGATTGTCAATGGTTGCCTCATCTCTCCAATTCCTTTAGACAAGCCTTCCTCAGCGTGAAGGGATGCCTCCAGTTTCCAGAGTGGGGGTATGTCTAATAACATTTGCAAACAATTCATCAGTCAGGCATCTTGAATGCTTGAGTGAGGGAGGGGGGGTTTCAATGGGCTACAAACTAGAATTCCTTTCCTCTGGTCATGTTTTCCATCCTGCTTATGTCACCACACAGATTAGCAGATCTCCATGCAACCCTTGTGGGTCTTCCAGACGAAAGGGTTATCACCCCAGTACCTGCTTTAGAATGGTTCCAGGGATTTTACTTCCAACTTGTTCAGTTCCTAAACTCCAAAAGTGGTCCTTCTCTCTGCTTTTGACTCCCAGCACGTAGTTTGTGCTCCTGCCTTTTGGCCTAACATCAGCACCTCAAAGTGCTAGCTTTGTTACATTCCAGTTTGCGTTAAGAATGTGCGTTAACTAAACAATTGTTTGATTAACAGTATGGCATGGACATCTATAATCTTGCAAAGTTTCTATTGGATCCTGAATCTTTTAGAAGCCAGTGCTTGATCCAACTATCCAATTCATTCCTTGGAATATCTCTCCGTAGACAAAGCTCAAGCCAGAGTTTTTTTGGGTTTTTTTTGTCGGGGGTGGGGTTTACACAGGAAAAACTTCTCTAGGCTCCAAGTCTCTGGACTCTTCAGTCAAGAAGTTACCCAACTCTTTCTGCCTGAGAGTTCTGGGACCAATGGTAAACTCATTCCAGGCAATCCCATATGCCCTGTTCCACTCTAGATCTCCACAACGTTGTGTTCTGTTATTGTGGGACAAGTTGGTTCAGTCTTTGAACAGAATGATTTGCCTGCCACCAAAGACAAGGTTGTCCTTACCTCCTTAGTAATACAGCTCCTAAAGTTGAGGGAAGTCCTTTCTGATGTCTTGAAAGATCTTAGTCAGACTCCAGCATGTCTGTCTGGAGAGGAGTCCTGAACACCATGTTGATTCAGGGGACTGCAGAATCTTGTCACATGATCAACATTCTGGAGCTTTTGACAATTTGCTTGTCCTGCATTGGTATATACCCCAACTAAAAGGTAGTCCATTAGGATTCAGTCAGGCAATACACAGCGGTGGCATACATCAACCACCAGGGAGGAGTCTGAAGTCTTGCTGTGGCAAGAGATGTTATTCGACAGAATTTTGTTCCAGCCTTCTCAGCCATTTACATTCTGGACATGGAAAATTGGAAGGCATATTTTCTCAGCATTTCTCAGCATTCAGTGCCTAGATCCAGGTGAGTGGTCCCTAAACCAGAGGTGTTCCATGACTTGCGTTACATCAGATTGTGTACCATCAGGTTCTACAAGCTGTACAAGTTTTTATCTCCAGATGCATAGACCCTCTTGACTAAAGCAGTGGATGATCTGGTTGTTCCATGGGATTAGTACAGCCTGATGTATACATTTCATCACTTCCTCATCGCAGTGTCAAGATGGAGGGCAACTCCATTGATGGCCTAGGTGGATGTGGTACTCTGACCTGATCAGATGACATTGTTGTATAGGAGTGCTGAACCTTGTGGTGATTTGTTGAAAGGCATAATTCACGTAGGCATAGGATGTCCATCTTGGGTGTTTCTCAGTGAAACTCTTTCTGGCCTTTCTACAAGTGGGCCTGGATCAGCGCTTGGCTTTGAGTACCATCAAGGATCAGATTTCAGCACTTCGATCTTGTCCCAGAGAATGCTAGCACCCTTTCAGCCTATCAAGATATTTATACTTTAATTTTCACTCACAAACTTGTGTTCTTTGTTGCCATTATCTAGGTCAGACGAGGTGAACTAGTGGTCTTGTCCTATTAAGACCCAGAAATGTTTAGTTCATATAGCATTTGATCCAGTTCATATCTGTCCCTTAGTTTCTAAGTAGTGTGAATAAACAGGTTCCATGATATATATATATATCATTTGTAAAAAAGAAAAAAAAAAAAAGTCAACAATGGTCCTTCTTTATGGTAGATGTTTGGCTTTTTATCTCAACCAGGAAGTCATTCTTCCATCCGTTTTTGTCTCTTCAATTTTTCATAAGGAGATCTCCCTCCATTTCCTGGCTACTGCTTCCATTAGACTGTATTCTTGACATTCCTGATGGTCCTGGGAAAGGAGGACCTGATTCTAGCTCCACCATCATTTGGTGGCTCAGACAAACCATCATACAAGCTTAAGTGTTACCAGGTTTTTTCAGTCCTCATCTGGTCCCATCTTCAGGCATAAGGTACTTCAGGAGGCTCTTTAAGCCATTGGCAGTCCCCAGTTATGTTATTCTTTCATGGGCCTATGAGTACAAAAATTTCACTTGTTCATTGAGGGACACAGGAATTATTAGACTGTTTGGGTTTTACAGCCTCTACAGGAGAAATAGAAAGTGGCAGCAAACAAGCCATAGCACAGCCATTCAGAACCATTTTTTTGTTAGTGTCCTCAGAATAATGGATATGTTTCGCTTCAGCTTTGTTTTTTTGTTTTTTTCCTCTACATGCCTCCATTTGATGCCAGCTGCAGCTGATGGGTTTATCCTGTGCTGGCCAACTATTTCTTTGTTTCTTTCTGTTTGTCCTTTTTCTCCTGTAACAGCTGTATAATCCAACTTAAGAATTTCTGTATCACTTAATAGACTCAAAGAATAGAATTTCATGATTAGTACAAAATAGACTCGTTTTGGGTGTGTGGCTTAGCGATGGCAGCATGAAGACGCTTCTTTGGGAGCTCTGCGGAGACCTGAGCCGAAAACCGACAGTCAAGCCACACTGACGAGCTGCTTTCACATGCCTGGGGAATGGAAACAACCACTGGGAACCGAAGGGACATGGAATTACTCATGATTTTCTCCCACCGCTCTGTCTCCTCTTCCAAGGCCCTGCAGCCACTAGGAGCAAAATAGGCTGCGGGGAACCCTGAAGTGCCACCTGTTCATCCAGACTCTCCCATCCTATCTCCATCTCTACTCTGGGCAGATTTACTGACTGGCTCCTTGGTTAACAGCCGCGCAGAGGGTGCTCTCCAGGAACTTATGGCAGACTTTCTCACCAAACGAGACCTGCAAGCCAGGGCTACCTCCATAGTAAACTGTCACGGGAATTGCATGACCTGTGCCAGCAGGTGGACACTGTTGAACGGGTGACAGTTCTAGTTTCTACAGGCACTCCTACCCGTACTCCTGACATTCATGGAGGGACTCCTTGGTGATCCTAATTTCATCATGGATCCTCTATTAGATGTATCTCGGTGCATGGCATCTGCATGCATCGATGTCCTCTCACTCTCAGACCAGTCCATCTAACCCTCCAGCTGAGCCCACGTATATGGGACCCTTTCCTGGTTTTTCAAATTAACCTGTCAGTCTTCCGCTCTTAACATCTCGATGGGTTGGGCGACAATCCATTCACTGCGCCCCTGCTATTCTTTCCGATGAGCGACCAACTCCATCTGTTACCTTAAAGTCGATATTGCTTCAGATCCTATACGGCTAACTTTGACTCATTGCTACTTCAACTGAAAGCTGATTTGCTGCACTAAGTTGGGCTCACTCTAACCTGGTTTGGCTGGTGCAGTGCTCTTGCCCTGGGTGCTCTATCTGCTTCAGGCCCTCCCCATTCCCCTCCCCCAGGTGTTTTTTTTAAACGGGTGATATCTGTTTCAAGAATTTCTATCTCACCTGAAGTCATGTCTTCAATTTCATCTTTCAAAACTCCAAGGAGGAGGGGTTGGCCTTCCGAATGTGAGGGCCTATTACAGGGCAGCCCATCTCGCCAGACTGGTTGGCACTGAAACCTTGTGTGTCTGTTGAGCTACAGGACTCATGGAAAGACAGAGCTTGCCTTGGATCTCCACTCCATTGCCAAAAGCTCCCAGTGACCACCACCCTACCCTTAGTAGCACCTTGTTGGTCGCCAGGGACACCTTTTCAAAACTTTTCTGTTTCCCCATAGCCCTCCCCATGGTCCCTATACTGAGCCAAAATTTTTACCAGGCCTTCAGAACCCCCACATCCAGCGACTGATATTAAGCGACCGCCTCTATTTTTGGGATTTCATGAGGTCTGGCAGCCAGCTTTCCTCTACTGCTGTGCGACCACCACCGACCCTCCTCTGGACTTTTGGAGTGGTCTCCAGCTCTGTCACTTTTTGTCAGTGCTCCTGAACCCCAGGTATCTCCTGCCAGTTTACGGCGCTGGAAAGCATCTGTCACGGGAGGGAACTCGTCACTGCATTCCTATTATTTATGCCTCTCTGATCTAACCGGCGACAGGTTTTGTCCTGCTTTCCTTTCCACATGGGAATCTGACCTTGAAACCCAATTCACTGCTGCACATAAAGAGAAAATCTTTGTGGTGCTTAAGGAGGTGTGATGCTGCACATCTTCTGGGACTGTCCCAAAATCAGACCATTTTGGTAAGAGGTCATCAGTACCATTAAACACCCGACCAACGTAGATTTAGAAGACAACCCGGTAGAATGCCTACTGCATCTCTGAGTGACCTATTAAGAAATATAAGGCCTCTTACAATCCAGCTTCTGAATGTGGCCAAGGCATGCATCCTTCTATGCTGGAAGTCTGTGAATTTGCCTTCGAAGTCCCTCTGTTTTTCTAAAGGTAATGAACTTGGAGACATGGAAGACCTCACGGCTACTGTGTACAACAGGTAAGAGACCTTTCGTGACATTTGGAGGCCTTGGCAATGATTTGTGTATACTGATGACTATTGGCAGGAGGTTTTGCAACCTGCTTGACCACTTGTGTCTTTTGTTTTGCGTTCATCGGGTGAGAGACTATGCTCTCCCAGGTTCTTGTGGTTTGTTTCACCCCTTTTGTGTTGACCTCTTTATCTGGTACATATGCCCTCCCCCTTTTTTTTTTTTTTTTGTCTGGCTGCCACTCTCTCTTTGTTCTATTCCCACTTTTTTTTTTTTTTTCTTTTGTTTTTTATCCTACAACCTACGTCTGGCCAAGTTTTGGGGCAATCTGCCATTCAGTTATTTTGAGCTTGCATATATTTGTTTTGTCCCCTCTCTGGATCACATTGGCCACAGGGGTGTCCTGTGCTCCTCAGTGCACTCTTTATTATGTTTGGTTGCACTTTTTAAGCTCATGAGTGTGTGTTGGAGGTTTTGCCTGATACTACCTTATGACCTTTATGTGTTATGTTGTATGATGACAAACTTTAAGTCTGCAGTGCTGCACACCTATACTTTGTTTTATTATAAATTTTTGCACCTGATTTGACTGTAAGACTTTCCTTGTTACCTTTTATGTGTTATTTTTACATATGTCTGCAACTTTTTCAAAAATAAGGAATTAAAAACAAAAAAACAAAAACTTATTAGCTGTAATTGACACTTCCATCGTACATTACAGCAAAACTGAAATTTTCCTAAGAGATGATGCTTTTGAAGAGTTGTTATAACATAGGTAGGCTGAACTAGTTTTTCCATTAGGATGCATTTTATATACTAAAGGATTGCCAAATTATTTGTAGTTTTTGATATTCTTTTTATCTAAACCTTTTTGTATTTCATGATTTTGATTTTCAGATTCTTGTCGTTATTGAACCCTTGCTGATTGATGAAGACTATTATGCTAGAGTAGAAGGCAGAGAAATTATATCCAACTTGGCTAAGGTAAGTTCTTTTATCATTTTGTTTACAGCCAAATTTTAATAATCAGGTAAATGCATATTTTCTATTTAATGCATTGTGATCAAGTCTAACTGTATTGAGTGTAAGCTACGTCTTCATAGGATATTATAGTTTTCTGAAGCTGACCATTTAACTGGCAGATCTTGCAGTTGTCCTTGAAATAAATCTCCCTGCCTAGAGCAGGCTTCAGAGCTGTTAATACAGGGATGTTCAATTCCTATCGCCCCAGCCATGTGCCTGGCAAGAGGTTTTTTTTTTTTGTTTGTGTTTTTTTTCACGTTTAGCCCTGCTGCGGACAAGCAGGAGGGCCTAGAGCTCTCTTTAAAAGCCTAGAGCTCTCTCTGTAAAAGCAATCTGAGCAGTTAACTAGCTGCTTTTTTTTCATTAGGACTAGTAGATTGACATGAGAGACAAGTAGAATGGGACCCCAATTTAGTCCTTTCGACAAGTAGTTTTGTAAAAAAAAAAATTCCACACCCATGCTATAGTATTTGTATCTGCTGGTTTCAGTCCATGGACATCTTTAACTGCCTCCCGCCTGCCATATAAGGTATTGAAGAGTGGGCGGCGGTTCTATCATTCTGGTAGGCTGTCATATGATGTCCTCCCACTCTAACGGATCATGCACACCCTTGGGGGTGCATGGCGCGGCAATCGGTGGTGCGCTGTGTCCAATCACAGCTATACACATGTAAATAGGAAATGGCGGATATCGGCAGTCCTCTCCTCCCGCTAACAGCTCATGAGGAGAGCCGGTAATCGGCATTCCTTAGAGGGGACATTTACACTGATATCAGGGCACTGATGATCAGTGGCCTGGTGATCAGTTTTCCCCATCAGTGCACATCAATGCCACATATCAGTGCCCATCAGAGCTGCCAGTCAGTGTCCGCTATCAGTGCTGCCCATCAGTGCCATATGAGTTCTGCCTTTCAGTGCCCATTAGTGATGCCTGTCAATGCCCATCAGTGCCCCAGTGGTGATTTAAATGCTACCAAAAGAAAACTCTGCCTCAAAAAAATTATAAAAATTTTCTTTATGTGCAGTGTTGCATGACCGCGCAATTGTCATTCAAATTGCGACAGCGCTGAACGCTGAAAATTGGGCCAGGACAAGAAGGGGGTAAAAGTGCCTAGTAGGGCAAGTGGTTAAAGATGCTCACTTTGCAGGTTGAGGCGACACTGTCTTGAAAGGGCCTTTAACCTGACCCTCCTATATTTACCTTGGTCTTCCTCACAGGCTCTTCTGTGGCTGGTTAGAATACCTGGCACTTCTGGGTATGGAGAAATATTTGACTGGTTTCCCATGGTGATGCCTGGAACTAACAGCCAATTGCCAGTACCCTCGCACTGTCACAAAGTTATCACCACTTCCCCTGACACTGCTGATTTCCTCTCTGGCGGCAGTCAATTTGTACTTCATGGACAAAGTGAAAGTGCCTACTTATGACAGTTCACACCATACATACTTTTTATATTTGTGTGGTTGCTGCCATGTATCTTAAAATGTGGTGTTCACATGCTTTCCACTGGCATCAGAATTCCTCAATCAATTGAAGGTCACAGCTTCTTAAAAGCATTTTAGGGTTACACTGCCACCCACAGGTAAAAAGGACCCTAGGCACATAGTGGTCAGTCCCTGGAAACTAGAACACCTCCTATACCAGTCTTTGTATAATTATAGAAAGTGGTTCAAATAGAAATACAGTGCCTTTGAAAAAGTATTCATACCCCTTGAAATTTTGTGATCGACCAACACAAAGTGGCACATAATTGTGAAGGGGCAGGAAAATGATAAATGGTTTTCAAATTTTGTTTACAAATATCTGAAAAGTGTAGCGTGCATTTGTATTCTGCCCCCTTTACTCTGATACCCCTAACTAAAATCTAGTGGAACCAATTGCCTTCAGAAGTCACCTAGTTAGTAAAGAGTAAATTAATCTCCTTATAAATACTATTCTGTGAAGCCCTCAGATGTTTGTTAGAGAACTTTAGTGAACAAACATCATCATGAAGGCCAAGGAACACACGAGGCAGGTCAGGGATAAAATTGTGGAGAGGTTTAACCATTAGCCGCCCGGTTAATGGCCGCTTGGCGGCTTGAAATGCGCTCCTAAATTCCGGGTGCACGCCATTTGGCGTGCTCCCGCACATGCGCAGTTTGCGGCACAGCAGAGCGGCGCAGCAGCGGGATCTGTCACGGGCCGTGCACCTCGGACACGGCCGATGACAGATCCGAGTGCCGACTCCCGTAGCTGGTACCATGTGACCTGCTGTGACCAATCACAGCAGGTCACATGATAGTTGTATACAATGGATGGCTTCATTCATGATGCCATCCATTGTATACTAGTGCCTAGCTGTGAATGGTCACAGCAGGTCACATGCACATGTCATGTGATTAGCTGTGACCAAATCCCAGCTAAGCACAAAAAAAAAAAAAAAAAAAACTGAATCGATTTCATTCAGCTAAATGCTTGCTTATAGCAAAGTAATTCTTTGCTATAAGCAAACTGTGTATAAAAAAAAAAAAAAAAAAAAAAATACTGATCACTTCCCCAAAGTAGTACAATGTTACTATGGTAACATTGTACTACTTTGGTCATAGTAAAATATGAAAAAAAAATGTAATAAAAAATTAAATATAATAATAAAAAAAAATATATATATATATTTTTTTCATACTGTCACCAGTCAGTGTCCATGTTCATCGCCATGCCAGTTATATGAAGACGCTGTACTGCACTGGTGACAGTATGTAAAAAAAAAAAAAAAAAAAAAAAATAGTGAAAATAACTTTTAATTTTTTCATTTTCTGAAAAATTATGACAAAAAAATACAACTTCAAAAAACTCGCCATGCCTCTTATGAAGTACGTCGGACTGTCTACTCTGCAAAAAGGGGTCATTTGGGGATATCTGTACTATTCTGACATTCTTGGACCTCAAGAAATTAGATTGGCTGTCAGTACTTCAGGATTGATCAATATTCAGATCTATACCATAGTTTGTGAACTCTATAACTTTCCTACAAACTAAAAAATACATCCTAATTTGGGTTATTTTCACCAAAGACATGTAGCAGAATACATCTCGGCCTAAATTTATGAAGAACAATTATTTATTTGTAAACTTTTATAACAGAAACAAAGAAAAATGTGTGTTTTTTTTTTCAAAATTTTTGGTCTTTTTTTGTTAATTTAGCAAAAAATAAAAACCCCAGCGGTGATTAAATACCACCAAAAGAAAGCTCTAGTTGTGTGAAGAAAATGATAAAATTTTAGTTTGGGTACAGTGTTGTATGACCGCGCAATTGTCATTCAAAGTGTGAGAGCGCTGAAACCTGAAAAATGGCCTGGGCAGGAAGGTGTAAAATCACACGGTATTGAAACGGTTAAAGCAGGGTTAGGTTATAAAAAAAAAATATCCCAAGCTTTGAACATCTCATGGACCACTGTTCAATCCATCATCCGAAAATGGAAATATAGCACAACTGCAAACCTACCAAGACATGGCTGTCCACCTGACAGGCTGGGCAAGGTGAGCATTAATCAGAGAAGCAGCCAAGAGGCCCATGGTAACTCTGGAGGAGCTGCACAGCTCTGGTGGGAGAATCTGTCCACAGGACAACTATTAGTCGTGCACTCCACAAATCTGGCCTTTACGGAAGAGTGGCAAGCAGAAAGCCATTGTTGAAAGAGAGCCATAAGCAGTCCCGTTTGCAAGGATTCCTGCAGGGGGCACAGCAAACATGTGGAAGAAGGTGCTCTGGTCAGATAAGACCAAAATTTGGACTCTTTGGCCTTAAAGCAAACCACTACGTGTGGTGTAAAACTAACACTGTACATCACCCTGAACACACCATCCCCAGCATGAAACGTGGTGGAAGCATCATGTTGTGGGGATGTTTTTCTTCTGCAGGGACAGGGAAGCTGGTCAGAGTTGATGGGAAGATGGATGGAGCCAAATATTTCTTTCAGGTACTTCTATAGCGCTGTCAATTTACGCCACACTTTACATATATATTGTACCTTCACATCAGTCCCTAACCCTCAAGGGGCGTACAATCTAAGGTCCCTAACTTACATTCATATATACATATACTAGGGCCAATTTAGACAGGAGCCAATTCACCTACCAGCATGTCTTTGGAGTGTGGGCGGAAACCGTAGTACCCGGAGGAAACCCACACAGGGAGAACATGCAAACTCCAGGCAGGTGGTGCCGTGGTTGGGATTCGAACAAACGACCCTAGTACTGCCAGGTGGAAGTGCTAACCATTTGGCCACTGTACAGGGCAATCTTAGAAGAAAACCTGTTAGTCTGTATAAGACTTGAGACTGGGGCGGAGGTTCACCTCCCAGCAGGACAATGACCCCAAGCATACAGCTAGAGCTACAATGGAATGGTTTAGATCAAAGCATATTCATATGTTAGAATGGCACAGTCCAGGCCTAAATCCAATTGGGAATCCGTGGCAAGACTTGAAAATTGCTGTTCAGACGCTTTCCTTCCGATCTGACAGCTATTTTACAAACGAGTGGGCAAAAATGTTACTCTCCTAGACGTGCAAAGCTGTTGGGACATACCCAAAAAGACTTGCAGCTGTAATTGCAGTGAAAGGTGGTTCTACATAGTATTGACTCGGGGGCCGAATACATATGCACACCACACTTTTCACATATTTAATTGTAAAAAAAATGTAAAACCCATTTATCATTTTCCTTCCACTTCACAAATCTGTGCGACTTTGTGTTGGTCTATCACATAAAATCCCAATAAAATTTACATTTCTGGTTGTAACATGACAAAATGTGGAAAATTTCAAGGGGTATGAATACTTTTTGAAGGCAATATAGTTGAGAGGAAGCTGTCAAACCAAACCAACCTCCATCCTGAAAGAAATCAAGTGGAGAGAGAAAATGTAAGATTACTTTAAAAGGACTTTAAAGTATATGTAAACCCTCAACTTGTAAAACAATCC